CTTTTGGTGGGTGTTCAATGGAAAAAGAATGAATCATTTCAAATATTCTATCAGCAGACAGCAGCTTTCAAACAATGGGGAACATAGTGTGAAGTGATGGGGACAGAGCACTTCATTAAGCTGATGTGGCTGTTCTAGTGTATGACGCACTCACATTTCATGAATTTGCATGCACTGGGATCGAGAAGAAACAAACAAACAAACAAAAATAACAACAAAAACTCAGTCCTAAAAGATTGAGTTAAAGGCAGAGGCCAGTTCTGTGCAGAAGGGAGCATTCCCGTTGAGTGAATGAAATACAAAACCAGGCTGCCCAGGTAAGAAGGTAAGAGGAGCCGCAGGTGGAACTGGGCTAGGCCCCTCCCTGCCCTCCCCAGCTCTGAGAATCGCTTTCTTTGTTGAGAGAATACACCCGAGGTGAGCCTTCTTCAGCCCCCCTCCGTTCGAATCCAATTTGCTGGTCAGGTAAGTCCTTCCAGGAGCCCAGCATTAACTCACAGACTCCCACACGGAATCAAAGCTTTGCCCAGGTCCTTTCACTGAAAGAAAGAAACGAAATGGACACTGCCCTCGGAGGTGCCAGACCAAGCCCGCGTGGAAATGTTTCGATTCCTCAGACACAAAACCATTTATTTTTGGTTCATTTCAGTATTTACAGCTGTGCACATGGAACACATTTCAATCCACATGAAGAGTTCCCAATCGTGGGAGCAAATTAATCTTTTACAAGCTACTCAGCAGTGAGGTTAGAAGAGAAACAGTAGGTGAAATAGTACACGCTCGCCTGTACGGGAACCTCCTTATTCCAATAAACTCCCACGCCGGAGCTCAGCACATCCAATCGCTGCCACCCTCTCCGTTCAGGTGGCAGCCACGCTGCCCCCTGCCACCTCTGCCGTGCTGAGGGACTTCTCCGATCAACCGCCTGGGTGGGGACATGCTGCCATTTTCAGTTTGGAAGGAAGAGCCTGTAAATCTGCTTCCTGGGAAGACAGACACTGCTGAATTGTCACCGGCCTCCAGAATGCAGAAAACATCAATTTCAATGCAGCTCATCAGCGTTGGAAACACCTGCCGCTTCCTCTCTCGCCGCAATTAACATGCTGCATCTCGGCATTGATTGATTCCGAGCAGCCTAACACAGCCAAATCAAGGTTTAAACGAAACAGCACAACCTGATATTATTTTTCACAGTTTTAGAAACACGAACTTATTTGTGTTTTTATTGCCAAAGCAGCGCTACAATAGTTGGGACTATAAGTCTTTATGCTTAAGATAAATGTGAGTAGAATAGGCTGATGCTTATAATACAACTAGTTCCTTATCTTTGTATTTATTTGGGAGTGGTACTTGTTTATGTTTCTATTTTTTGTGGGCAGGCTGGAGGAATAATATTCTTTCTGTATCCCAGCTCCTAGCACAAGGCTGCAGAACCCCATGGGTATCTGGAGAATGTTTATTAAACAAATAGATAAAAAACTGAATGGTTTGGGAGAGCAAGCTTAGGAGCTGTCCTCTTGGTCCAATGTATATAAAAATCTGAATTTAACACTAACATGAGCCCTTTGGTTTAGCTTAGAAGCTGTGTGAGACTATGAAATAGGACCTGAGGCTGGGGCTTTATATCTCATTCAGAGTGAGTCCTAAATTGCTCAGGCTGGATCTCAAGTGTTCTTTTAGGGGACGGTGAAGGCTGTGTCTGTTTTCATCATAATCTTACTCATATTGCACACAAAGAAACTGACTTCAAAATGTACAATATTACACATTTTGAGGGTATAAGAACATTCCCAATTGTGAATAAGGAAGGGAATAATTTTAAATACTTTAACAGCCACAATATTTGTGTCCTTTTGGACATGATCGTTGAAATAGTTTCTATGTACTGGTAAAACTGAAAGCCAATGTAAGTAGAAGGCTGCTGAGAATGAGATTTATGCTTTCACTTGGCCAGATAAGACATAGTCTTAAACCACAGAACATAGTCTTTGGAAGAAAAAGTGAACAAATTGCTTCTCTCATCTATTAACAGAATACTAGAGACAAGAACTATCTTCTTTCTTGGACTTCTTGGAAGAATCTTTCTTTTAAATGGAAATAGAACAAATTTAAATAAGTGGCAATTAACTATTTTGCACAATAAAAACCCAGACACTACACTTTTGAGCTTCATCTGCTAAACGTATGCAAGCATCCAAGAATGCGCTCGTATAACTGACAGAAAAGACTGGGCTTGAACATTTCTACATATTCCAGAATGAAAACTGAGGTCATACATCCCCTTCTTAAAATGAGTTCATATTCCTGCACATCCAGGCTCTCACCTCCAAATGCCTGGTGGCTGAAAATATGTTTGACTATCTCCATAAATCTTTAATACTATACAACTCACTGCCCCAAACATCGGAGTTATATGTATATTAAATAGCTTATATATCAACAACTTAGTGAAAATAGGTCTTCTCCAAATGATAACACAGGAAAAACAGAAGTATGAGGAAATCATATTAGCAATTTCCACCAAATAAATAAAATAGATAGTTATGAGACATAGTTTTCATAGATAGATAGATAGATGATAGATAGATAGATAGATAGATAGATAGATAGATAGATAGATAGATAGATAGATGATAGATACCTATACATATTTCCTAATAATAGAATTCAGGCACTAAAAGACTTGAGTCTGAAAGGAAGAGAAAGAAAGAAAGAAAGAAAGAAAGAAAGAAAGAAAGAAAGAAAGAAAGAAAGAAAGAAAG